TATCTCAATATTTCAATTCATAAGAACAATTTAAAAGTATTTGATAAGCATGTCATCGGACAGCTGTTCCCCAGGGCTGGGAACCTCTCAGTATAATTTTTCTGAGTGCACTCTGCCCACAGACAGAGACGCAACTGAGATGATAAATAATGTGTTACAAACAACACAGCTTCAAATACATATTTCCTCTTATGATTCAAATGTAATGTTGATCTGTGGGTTTCCATTACAGAAGCTGGTCTTTACAACCTACAACTATGTTTTATACAGACTTACTGATATGCCATAATTAAAATTTGAATTCTAAAATAAAAACATTGATCCAACATATTTACTTCCCTTTGTTATGTATCTCTCTACATATTTTGTACATGATACAAATTGGATAAAAAAAACGGATTTTCTGGCAAGTGTGTTGTTTGGGGTAATAAAGGAAACAAGATTGAGAAAAATTAATACCTTATATATATATATATATATATATATATATATTAGTCCATTAAAAATTAAAAGTGAAAATATTTTAAAACGTATTCTAACCTAAACATCCCCCAAAAATCTTTAAGTATACAAATAGAAAAAATGCCGGAAGAATTTTTGCCGTCAACAATAGGATTTTATAAAAAAAAAATCCAGATGACATGAATTTAACGGATGTCAGAATTCCTTGAAAAATACATCCCTACCCCTACCTAAACATAACCCTTTTTTCAAACATAACTAATAACTGATACAGTTAATAAAAATGAACACGCAACCACCCCTGGTCTGGATGAATGGATTTCTCTGTATCCTTGGAAAGTGTAAATTATGATTTTTGCCATGCCTTTAAAACCCATTAAATTTAAAAATAAGTTACTCCAAAATTCGCTTGAGGATGAAATGGAATTAATGTCTTTAATTACAAAATTAAATTCGAAGCTTTTAGCTTCCATTTTTGAAACATGGTTAGAACTGTGTAGCGAAAAAAAAACATATTTTAAATCAGTTAATTTATATTAATGCTCCGTAAATGTACATTGAGCACTATTTTGTAAAAATAAAAATATCTATAAGAACACCGGATTATATATCTTACCGTTCTTTCTTATATATATATATATATATATATATATATATATATATATATATATATGTATGTATGTGTGTGTGACTTTTTGGGCATATTACCGGTTCTTCGGTTTAGTTTCTTTCATGTTTTTTTTTAGGCTCATTCAAAACAGGTTTTTGTTTTAGGTCAGATATTTAAAACTACATTAAGCACTTTTTTTGTTTCATGCTATGTTACAAAGATAATATAACTTTTTTTTTTAAAGGAAATTACTGTTTAAAGAAAGTTTGGAATTGTTTTATTTCTCTTTGTTGGGCAATAAGACAAAAAATAGATTTAAAAACTAAAAAAGAAGCATAGATTATATTTTATTTGAAAAAAAAAAAAGAACAAATGTCAAATAAAGAAGACTTTAACTTTTAACTGAAATTTCTGAGATAGGAAATGATGATGATTATAATTATGATAATCATCATCATTTCCTATTAAGAACAGAAAGAACAGACCAGGGTTGCCAGGTTGGGTTTTTTTTTATGCCAAACTTCTTAAATCTGGCTTTTTTTATGTTGGTGTGGTGCCAGAGAATTGATTTGGCGTATTTGTCCTTTTTTTTTTTTTAAACGTAATAAACACTAAAACAGTATCACAGTTACTATGCTACAATCTTTTCTTTTTATCCTCAGTGATGCGCCTGAATTATGCAAGATTCCGGTCCTTTTATCACCATCAAGAAGGGGAACAGCTCCCACCAGAAATTTATTGTTAAAAAAAAAAGAAAGAAAGAGGAATAATGATTCTTGTGCAAAGTGCCAATTTCAGCAGCCTATCAAAAGGAAGAAATTTCTCTACCGTAAAGGTCTGTCACAAATAGATCTGATAAAACAAGGAAACTAATGATCTTTTTTTCCTGGTCTTTCACATGCTCGACCCTCTTCTCCGATGTTTCTTCCATAAGTTAAAGTTCTTTAAATGAAAAAAAATCTTACGGATACACATACTAAAAAAAAAATTATTTAATAAATGAATAAAAGTAAAACGGTCGTTATTATTATTTAAGTATGTAAAAAAAAACTTTTTAATTAAAAAATTAAAATTTCATGAAATTTATCTAAAACGTTTTTTTTTTTTTAATCAGAAAAAGAAAAAGCTAAAATAAAAAAAAAAGATTTTCCCGCGAATCACACTATCGTTGTGTCAAAATAAATTAAATTAAATCCGAATTTACAGCTGAAAAGAAACATCACTAAAAAAAGATAAAAAGAATGTTTAAAAATTAAAAGAAATAAAGACAAAGTCAACAAAGTGGTTTCATTATAAAACGCCTGAAAACCCGCTAAAATTAAATCTCATGTTTATTTGTTTTTGTTTTGTTTTTTTCTGACTTTAAAATAAAAATTTTAATCTGGCAAACCTGGGCACAACAGCTACAAAAAGTAAAACTTTTTTTAATTTAACTTAATTTAACAATTAAGACGAGAGCAACAACTCAAATCAATGTGCATAAATTATTCAATCAAATAGATTTTTTTATTTTTTAAAAACAATAGTTTCAAATTTTCTTTTGGAATTAAAAAGATTTCTTAGTGTAGATAGGTGTTTTCTTTTAAAAATTATTTTTGTGTGGGTGTAGAAAATTGTTTTATTATTTTAATTATTTTCCAAGGAATTTTAAAAAGAAAACATTTTCAAACCAGGATAGAAATCTAATTTCAAATGAACTTTTGAAACTATTGTTTAAATTAATTAATTAATTTTGTATTAATTATTTGAATATTGTTCTCATCTTGGTTGTTGTGTTGAAAAAAAATGCAATGGCCTTTGTACCCTCTGACCTTAATGGTGCAAGAGAAGATTGAATAAAGGAAGAAAATTAAAATATTGAGACCAGAATAACAGTTTGAAAAAAAAATCATCGTATAATTAATATTTCCCCCATCTCACAAATTCAGACAGAAATTTTATTTATGTATTTTTAATTATATTTTCAGTTTTGAAAACTAACTTTCTTTTTTTTCTCTACTAAGCCGGGTTACTAAGTCTTTTTTGTTGTCTAAATTCAGTTGCATCTTAATTTATTAAACTCATTCATGCAGGATTATCTTATTTTACACTACAGGAATTTGATTTTATCTTTAAAACAATCTTTTTTTTTTTTTGAGGATGATTTACAAAAGAACAGACAGCACGCGCATGCCCTACAAATGAACAAAAAACCATTGGAAAAAAAACGGGTTATTTAATTTTTATATATATATATATATATATATATATACACACACACACACATATATCAGTAACACAAACAACAACAAATGATTTCGGTGGGCTGATTTAAAATCCAACAGACACCAACGGATCTAAAACAAAGAAACAGGCACTTTCTGGTCTTCGGATCTGATAAGGTAATTTAATTTATAGCCCCTCTTATCCCCAGAGATCACAACGCATTTTCTTTTACACTTTACAGACAGAGTTTGAGTTTTATATTTCATTCTAACCTGAAGAAGCCGAAACCAACAGACTTTCGTTGAAACGCGTCGTTTATAGATTTTCCACTTTGTCTGATTAGGTCCAGTTTTGTTTTGGATACTATATCCTACACACACACAAAAAAAAAAAACCCAAAAAAACAAAAAACACATATTTTGGAAAGAATCCTTAAATAGAAATTCTTTACAAGAGAAATACAGATGTTTTCTTATTAAGATTCTTTTTTTAAGGTGAAACTGAAATCAAATTGCCATTCCTACAAGATAAAATTTTTAAATTAAATTAAAATTCCTACATTTTAAATTTAACTTCATTAAGTTTCTGGAGAAGGTAACGTTTGGAGAAAATAATTTACTGTTTTTCCTAAGAAGTGAAATAAAACAATTCAGAGATAGAAAAAGAAGAAATCTTGGAAGACTAAGACTCATGATCGCCTACATCCTGAAGGGAATTGACATTTAGAAAAAATGCTGAGTTATCAAAATCCTTCAGGGTCACCATACATTAAAAACCCTTATATTTGAAACGAACATGGAACGATCAGAGAGTATCGGTGTGTGTAGGTGAAAAAATGCAAAAGATTAGAAAAAAATCATTTCAGAAAACCTTCATTGGAGAAGCCGAAAAAAAAAAAAAAAAAAAATAATAGAAAGAATTTTTTTTTCCCACCTACCACAGTAAAATTGGAGGAACTGTCTTCATCCATTAGGTCAGCCTTGCAACTACTGGCGACAGCAGCAGTAGTTCTTGTTGAGGCGGTGAGGCTGTTGGGAGCTGAAGCATTGGCACTCAGCAATGGAGAAGACGAACGAGACACACAACGACTATCCTGGCCGGTATTCATGACATCAAATGGATCCTCTTCCAGGTCGGGCAGGTTAGCATTACGTTTCATCTCAAAGCAGGGCTCCAGTTAGTGCACTGACTGACAGACAACTCAGTTGGTGCCAAGCCACTTCTTTGAACAGATTGACACCACTAGCAACTTCTTTCTCTTTTTTTAAAAAAATTTAAATTTATTTATATTTTTTTTTAAATTTATTTTCTGATAATTACTTGAGAGTGACAGTCACGCGAATAAATTAAATAAAAAAAAAACAAACAGGTTTTTTGTGTAGTTGGGTGTGTTTGAAGAACAAGTCGTGGTGTTGTGTTGGATGAAAAAGGCGAAGTTTGTTTTTTTTTTTTTTAAAAAAAAAAAATAGTCGTTGTTTCAGAAGGAAAAGGCGGAATTTTTAGTTAATTTCCTTTTATTACGAATATTTTGTGGGTATACATTCGCGGAAAACAACAAATTTAAAATCTTTCTTTCCACATTTTGCGTTGTTTGTTTTTGTTTTGTTTTAGTAAACTCTATGACTGAACGTAACGACCAAAATGGCCCTTTTTGGTACAGATAAGTAGGAGTTAATAAAATTGAAATATGTTGTTTTTTTTTTTTAATTCTTCATTAACTGACCTTGTTTTGGAGTTCTGTTCTGTAATTTCCTCTGCTGCTACTGCTCTTCAACTTCCGCATCGTAACACATCTGCTTCCATAGATTTTCTAAAACCCTCACCACACCCAGTAAGTAATCAAGTGGTAAGTGCACGTGTACATACGTAATCTACCCTCAGGCTTTTTTTTTATCCTTAAAAACCAGAATACCCATTTTTTTTTTTTAAACGAATCAAGATCGTCGTATTTTTCTTAACATTCTCTTGAGAGGGTCGTAAACAACTTTTTGATTCACACACGCAAGATACTCGCTGAGAAGAAAGTACTTCACTGTAGTCGTGTAATAAATGTTAAAATCTAATCTTTCAATAAAGAAAAAAAAACCTGTTAGAAACAGAAAACTCGAAGTGGCTACAATCCAACATTAATTTCATTAGCATAAAAATGCTGCAGTCAGTACGTAAATCAGTAATCTATAAAGCAGACACCCACGAGGTTTTATTGATTCAATTTTCTTCTTCAATAAGACAAAGTCTTTCTTCAAACAAAATAAATACACCACGACTTTATTTTAAATAATCTCTATCTTATTTTCAATGTATTAAATAAAGCACAGTATGTTTAAGTAATTTTTGTTTCATGTTTATTTAATTTAATCAAGGCTATTTTTTTTTATTTTAAACAAACGAATTTTATGACAATACAGAAAAAAAAGTGTAATTTAAATCCTAGAAAAATCGAAGTGTTTAAGTTTATGTCATCTCAGATGAAATATTTTTTTATCCAGGCCCCCATAAAAATTGAAATAAAAATGTGTGCGTGTATAAGAGTGTTTATAAATATTTTTTAGAAATTAAGAATTAATCTTTTGATAAGATATTTTTCAGACAAAACGGAAAATTTGAAAAATTAATAAATTAAATTATATTTATAAAGATAAGCTACCAAAATTCCAAACTTTATACAAACTCAGTATTGACTTGTGGGTTATCTCCACATATCTTTGCCAATTTTGCCAAAAAATCAATAGGTGGCGCTGTGAAGAAATAAAAACTGTACTCTTATATTCATCCTAGCTCACTTTATTTTATACTAATATTCACTCGATACAAAACCCAAGAGCTACCCAAGGTAATGAGTTACTGAGTGGTGTTGTATGAGTAAAAGAAAAAAAAGCAGTAGGAAGTTAAGTTCATGTTGTTGTGCAAGAAAGATAACAGTTAACTCTAGACTTGAGGTGGTCAAGATTGTGGTGATTGAGAAAACATCCTGCCTTGCTGTACTGGATTTACCTATAAGATAACAGGCTGAACCTTAAGGTCTCAAAATCTAGGGGTCCTCCAGCCAAGGTGCATAATATTTTTGACACTGTCATAGGTCTTTCTTACACATGCTGTCATAACCACATTGTAGACTCTAAACAACCCTTCAGTAATTTTAAACACTCATCATCATCCTCGGCTTTACTCAAATCGTTTAATTTAACACCCTTCCATTTTCCTCTACTTGTGAGAATAGATGGATTTGGAGGCCTTCTCTTCATCTAAATCTGGCCCTTCTGCTTAGATGTGGCACAAGGCCGAAAGTATGGGGCACCCAGTGAGGATTGAACTCACTACTCATTCATAATTGTGCTAGCAAGACAAGATTGCTAACCATTACACCGCCTCAGGATGCCCAATTCATCTTTGTGTATGTGGTATGGCAGGTCCCAATTGTAAAAGTCAGAGGTGGTGGGGCCAAGGAAAATAGTTCATCATCAGAACACATGCCATGGAAAGCAGTGAGAGGCTATGGGGAAAGGGGTTGTAGAGTGGTAAATAATTCATCACCCACAAGGAGACCTAGATGCTTTGAACTCTATCAAGACAGCCAAGTGAGGACTGGGCAGCTCCAATTCAAACATGGCAGTAGTACCCCATTTTTGGTCTGATCTTGTAAAAATAGCTTTTCCTCCCAGCATGCTTCAATGACAACACCACCGCAACCTTGTTCCCATGCATGGCGATATCTTCCTTCTTAGTGACTGAAGTTTCACACACTTGTATCACCCACACAATACCAAACTTTCAATAGCTTCTTTCTTTTACATACATGCTGATGTATTTTTTTTTTTTTACTTTGTTATATAAAAAAGAAAATGTTAAATAACATCTTGTTAAAATTCATTCATTTCTTTACGCTCGTCATTTGCTTGTACAAAATAGTGTTGCGACTGCTTTTAGTCAAACTAAAAGTCATGCCTCCAATAGACTATATATATATATATATATATATATATATATACACAAATGTATACAACTAGTTTTATGACATTTTTGTAATCTTATCTTCCTGGGTCATAAAGTAATAAAAAAGGTATTAATTTGTTTTAGTTCCTGGAAAAGTTCACACCAAAACCATAAATTCAATTTTACCATATATACAATACAGATAAAAAAAAAAGATCAAAATATTTCAGGTTTATTTTTCAATTTACTAATGATGTATTTGGATATTACTTATGTATTTTAATGTATTTAACAATTTATAGCAATAGCATAACATACAAAGTTACAAATAAACAAAAAAAGTTCTAAAAGGTTCCAGAAAGTCATAATACGACAATACTTATATACAATTTTAGATATTTTGTGTTGGGGTGACATTTAAAAGAAGATAAACTGAATTAAAGTCATCTTAATTATTTTTTAAGAAAGGTTCATTGAATTATAATACGGGAAATCAATTATATTGCAAAGTGTCATAACCCTAATATACACACATATATGGATAAAGACAAAAGTAAAAATTACCTTAGTCAATGTGTTTTGTCCTCTGATAGAGCTTTTTGTCTTTAACATATATACAGATATATTTTTAGTTATATCTGAATTTATACACATATATACATACATATATATTTTATATATATATATATATATATATATATATATATATATTTGGAAAATGCCTGAAAACCATACCACTGGTTTGATCAAGCCTTGTGAATGAAATTGGGTAGGCAGAACACTTGTGGGTCATTGATAGCTGTGCTAGCATGCCATAAGTCATTATGGCCGAGGGCTTGAGCGTGCTGGCCTTTTTCAAACTCAAATGTGCATGAGCGAGTGTCTGCAATAGGGATTGGCTAGCTGCCCTAGTAGACGGGTATCCCCGAATACGAGTGGCCAACTATTACATATATATATATATAGACAACGACAAAATTATTCATACACCCATCAATTTTTAATATTTTTATCCATTTCTTAGAATCTAATGCCCATATGATGCTATGTTTTTTTTAATGTTAATAAGCCCAAAAAATGAAGATAAAAACAATGACAAGAACAATAGGTTAAATACAACAAATTTGACATGCAAATTTTATATATATATGTGTGTGTGTTTTAAACAAGAGAGAGAAGATACTTTTATTGCATGCAGATAAGTGTTTTTGGTGTTGGATTTAGCATGTATAGATATTGTCCAAATGTTTATTGATTCCAAGCACTTTCAGATCGTCTATAATTCATTTTAAACGATTTTAGTTCTACTAATTTTAATAACTAATAAAATTGTGTGTAAGTTTGAGTTGCTAGAAGAGAAGTCATATTCTTAATTCTCTAACAATTTCTACACTTATCAAGTACAGAAAAGTAAACACTTGTTTGCAAAATTTCATTGTCAGTCTTATTTAATAAAAAATATTTAAGAGGGCTTGCTACCTAAAAGCACATATTTATATACATGCAAACACACACACATATTATATATATATATATATATATATATATATATATATATACACCCAAACACACACACATATATATACACACACACACACACACACACATAGTTTATTTTAGTTTTTTTATATACAGATTTTTGATGTAGCTTTATTTTAGCTATGCATAATTTTGTTTTTTCAGTTTCAAAATCGTTAAAAATTTACTTAAGAGTACTATTTTACAGCTAAAAAGCATCATCTAAAAATATACATACGTAATGAATTGGCCCCAAATTGTATTATCCTAGGAGCCTCTTCAGGCCTAAATCTGGCTTTGCATATATATATATATATATATATAAAAATCAGTAAATTGCTGATACCCACTGAAGAGGGAACAAACAGGTCTGGCTATAAAACTCTGGAGCCAGGATACTGAAGGTAACATCAATCAGCTCTGTGACAAATTTTTCTTACATTAATCCTATATATATATATATATATATATATATATATATATATATATATAATAAAATAAATAATAAAAAACCAACACCCAGTAGTGACAGTCTTTCATGTGGAAACGCAATTGACACGATTGCATTTAAGCATGAAAGACTGTTATATAGTGTTATGCACCAATGTCCACTTTTATTTTAGAAATATATATATATATACACACATATATAATTTATAAATATAACATCCAACAAAGTATGTAAAAAAAAAAAAAAGTGAAATATTAACACTAAAAATAAAAAATTTCAACTTTCAACTGATTTTCGCATAATCTATTTTTACACCGATATAATTATACACACCATAGGTGTAATGTATTTCACATGCATGCACACACAGAGGTATCTTAATTTTGTTCAGAAGAAGGCCGGAGAGTACAACGGCCAAAACATTGTAATAAATATGGCGACAAAGATGAGGACAATAGTCTGAATAATGTAAACAGTCTAGGTGAAATATAATATTTGCGTTTTTATGTCAACCTCAAAATGTTTCTGATTGCACTTCTATTGATTTGTTGGATGGTGAGTGTTAGAGCAAAGAACTTAAAATACACATATGGTAAATACATGAGACTCTTTGGAAAATTCTTATTTTGGCAGGTTTCACTGTTTAAAAGAAAAATAATCATAAAAAATTGTTTTTCTGAAGACACTGATCAGTAAAATATTTAAAAATTAAAGTTTTCCAAAGTAATTTACAAAACCATCAGACTCTTACCCAAATTTAAAATCATATATATAAGAAAAATGATCTAATAAATTTCTGTTCTCATCATAACAAAATCAGGTATAATCATTGGATTCTAGTTAAGAACATTCAGAATTTGCAGCCCTCAATATTTACTTGA